ATATATATATAGAGAGAGAGATAACACAAGAAATAAACAGTTAAATTATAAAACACTTATATAGATAGATAGATACATAGAATAGAAATAAACAGTTAAATTATAAAACAATACAAATGGCTCAGTACAATTCAAATGTGTTAGAGAGTTGTGAGACACTCGCAGTCCTTCAAGTCTTGAGGGCCACCTGGTAGTCCTCTGTGGAGAGATTCATATTCCCCTGGCACTGGCAGCCAACAGCAAGGCAAGTCACCAACAGTCAGCCAGGTCACTAACAGTCAGTCCCCAGCTCAAGAGATGTAAATTCCAATTGTGTGGTGAAGCAGGTTTTGAAGGAGCCTCAAATTACAGTGACATAGTCCACAGGTTAGGTGTCCCACAGGTAGTGTAGCTAGTAAATTGAGCCACAGAACAAGCAAGGCAGCCAAAAGAAGAGACTAGATATGAGAATAATTGTGTAACCACGTAACTCACTACCAAATCTGTACTTATTAAGATATCATTAATTTATTTGTAGTGCCAAATGATTTTAAAGAATACTTTTCACTAAGGGGATCTCAGGTGTTACAGGGTAGCATTGCCCCATAGTCGTTTCTCGGCCGTCATCTTACAGAAGTAATGGTCAGGTTTATTTTCTCTTACAACCACTGGGTTGATTTGATCGGAGTGTAGGGTGTCCATACTTTGTGAGAATGACTTTCAGGGAGATATATTTGACTCTATCTTCCTCAGGTAGATTTTGGCCAATAAGCTGATTTAAAACTATAATTCACTAATTGCTCATATAAGGGGAAAGAGTATTTATTGAAAAGAATGCAGAAAATGTTTAAAAATTTAACATGAAAATATTAAAACCAGAAAAATTTGAATGGATATTAAGGGAAATCAAATGATAGTGTGCTGCACATGTAATCTAACTATCCACACAACTCACTTCTTATTTGAAGTTGTCAATCTGTTTAACTTTGTTATTCTTGCTAGTTTATTGTTGCTGTTGTTTTTTAATGTCTTTCTGTATGTGAAATCCAGAATAGGTACATCTACTGCAGAGTTTCACAACCTTCCTAATGCCGCAGCCCTTTAATATCTTGTGTTTCAGTGATGCCCCAATCATAAAATCATTTTTGTTGCTACTTCATCACTTTAATTTTGCTACTGTTATGAACTGGGAGACCCCTGTGAAAGGGTCGTTTTACCTCCAAAGGGAACCACAGGTTGAGAACAGCTGATCTACAGAGACAATACCTGTAGTAGTTGTTCCTTGTGGGTATGGTAGGGGAGGTTCTAGTAAGTGAGGAGCTAATAACAATGAGTACAATAATGAAGATAATATTCTAAAACAGATGGTGATTGTACACCTCTTCTTGATGTGATTGCAATTTTGAACTGTATGATATGTGAATTACATGCAAATAAAAATGTTTGCGGAAAAAAATTAAAAGAAAACCCCATGAAGAAGGATAACAGATGGAGTGTTTACTGAATGTGGTTGAAGGTTTGCTGTTTGAGATGCACAACCAACCAAGTAAACAAAACCCTGAACCAGTTGCTGTGAAGTTGATTCTGACTCATGTTCATGTTCGTGGTTGGATCCTATTGGAGGTGTAAGAGAAGAGAGCCTGTGATTTGCTTGTGCAAAGATTAAAGTCTTGAAATCCAAATGAGCAATTGGACTTTATCTTCTAGAGCCATTGAGTCAGGATCACTAGGGACATTATCAGTCAGTATCACTAGGGCCATGATGAGTCAGGATCCCTTGACAACAACAAAACGTTATTCAATATTATAAATAAAAACAAAACAATATTAGTCAATATTATTAAATGATAAGATGCTATTCCTTCATACAATAGTATTGAACTATTCTCAATGATTCTTTTCCTTCAGACTCCCCACTCTGTGTGTAGCAAGAGCTGTGGCCTGGAATTCATGAAAATTCATCAAGAAGGGCAGCCTTCCTGCTGTTTCCATTGTATTTTATGTCCAAAAAGAGGAATAACTAATGAAACAGGTATGAACTGACAAAATTCCACAAGCAATTTCCCTAACTTCTTATAAGCCTGTAAGGGGTTCTGGGTAGCACAAACAGTTCTGGGCTCACTTATATCCTCAACCCACCAAGAGGTACTTCAGAAACAGTCCTGTTGATCTGCTTCCAGAAATCAGAGACACAGAACAACCAGTGGAGCACAATTCTGCACCCCACGTCTGGGGATGCCATTAGTCGAGTTACCCCAAAGGCATCAAACAACTATTTTGACAAGGCACATAATTTCTCATGGACAGATGACACATGGTTTTTAAATAGCAGTGTTGTCAGGTGCATATAGAACAGAGAAAATGAAAACAAAACAAAACAAAACCCCTTTCACATAACCACGCTGAGATTTGAAAGGTGTCGCTCTGTACGCTGTCTCATATTCCCTCTCACTTTCCTCTCTAGATAGTGATCAGTGTACAGAGTGCCCCCAGAGTCAGTATCCCAACATGGAGAGGAACCACTGCCTACCCAAAACTGTGACCTTCCTGGCTTATCAAGACCCACTGGGCATGGCTCTGGCCTGCACAGCTCTGTGCTTCTCTGTCATCACTGCCATGGTTTTGTGGGTCTTTTTGAAATACCGAGACTCTGCCATAGTCAAGGCCAACAACCGCTCCCTCAGCTATGTCCTGCTCCTCTCCCTCCTCCTCTGCTTCCTCTGCTCCTTACTCTTCATCGGCCGTCCAAACACAGTCACCTGCGTCCTCAGCAATATCTCCTTCGCAGTGATATTCACTGTGGCTGTTTCCGCTGTTTTGGCCAAAACCATCACTGTAATTCTGGCCTTCATGATCTTAAGACTGGGAAGAATTATGAGGCAGTTGCTGGTGTCTGGGGTTGTAAATTTGGTGGTTCCCATCTGTTCCCTTATCCAATTGATTATTTGTGGGATCTGGCTGGGAACCTCTCCCCCTTTCATTGACATAGACTCATCCTCTGAACCCAGGAGCATCATCATTGAGTGCAACAAGGGTTCTGTCTCTGCCTTCTACTGTGTCCTGGGATACCTGGGATTCCTGGCCCTGGGAGCCTTTTCCTTGGCTTATCTGGCCAGAAACCTGCCTGGCACCTTCAATGAGGCCAAGTTCCTGACATTCAGCATGCTGGTGTTCTGCAGTGTCTGGGTGACCTTCCTTCCTGTCTACCACAGCACTCGGGGCAAGGTCATGGTGACTGTGGAGATCTTCTCCATCTTGGCCTCCAGCATGGGGCTTCTAGGCTGCATCTTTGCCCCAAAGTGCTATGTCATCTTCCTAAAGCCAGATGGAAACACATCAAAGGGGTTAAAGAGTAAAACATATTTCAGGGGGAAATGATCAGAATCTCTTTTGTTTGCTTTTCTTGTATAGTTCTTGAGAAATAATTACTGTAAGCCAGGAACTATACAAACACATGTCAGAGCCAGATTTAAAGTCTTTTTTGCATGTCTTTCCATGTCTTGATTTTTTTTTTACATTGTTGTTAAGAGAAAACAACTTAGGTAGGAGAAAATTGAGAGATTCTATTCCCACAAAGAGTTATAGTCTTGGAAACCCACAAAGACAATCCTGGTTAGTCCTTTAGAATCTTTATGATCCAAATTTGACTAGATAGCAGCGGGTTAGGTGCTTCAGAATCAGTTCCTACTCATTTCCACACTGTGTGTGACAGAAACAATAAAACTAACTTGTCCTGTACCAGCCTCACCGATGAGAGCCCATATTTGAAGCCACTGTTGTCGTCCATCTCATTACGGATCTTTCTTTTTGTCCCTAACACTTTGCTTTCCCAAACATGATGTCTTCTCCAAAAGATGCGTTCCTATTGATAACAGGTCCTACGTAAGGTGAGATGAAGTCTTTTCATCCTCACAGAGCCTTAAAAAAATTATTTTATTGGGGCCTCATACAGCTGTTATCACAATTTGTACAAATATCCATTGTGGCAAGCACATTTGTACATTTCTTGCCATCATCATTTCCAAAACATTTTCTTTCTGCTTGAGCCCTTGGTATTAGCTCCTCATTTTTTTTCCATCCCTCATGGACCCTTGATAATTTATACCCTATGAGATAGAAAATGATAGACCAATATTCTTCATGAATAGAGATGCTAAAATCCCAAAAAATATTCTGGCCTTTGAATCCAACATCATAATAAAAATTTAATTCACCATCACAAAGTGGGATTCAATCCAGGGATGCAGGGATGGTTCAACATTCAAAATAGGATCAGTGTAAATCGCCACATTAACAAGGCAAAGAATATAAACTACATGATCCTATCAACAGATGCAGAAAAGACATTTGAAAATATACAACTCTCTTTATATATCTGTGTACATGGTCCAGTCTAGTCTGAATTGAGAAACAGCTGGTAGCTCACGACACACAGAATACAGGAACAGGAGTGGGAGTAGTCATATGAGAAGGGTATGGGGAAGAGTGGGGGGGGGGGAGAAAGGGAGAACCGATTGCAATGATCAGTGCATAACCATACACCCCTATACAGGGGGAAGAACAATAGAAAACATGGGAGAAGGGAGACAGCAGTCGGTGTGAGAGATGAAAATAATAACAATTTGCAATCTATTAGTGGGTTGTGAGGGTGGGGGGAGAAGAGGGAGAAAAAAAAAGGAGGAGCTACCAAGGGCTCAATAGAAAGTAAAGGTCTAGAAAAGAATGAGGGCAACTTATATACAAACATGCATTATTCAATTGATGTATGGATTGTGTTAAGGGTTGTAGGAGCCCCCAACATAAATATATATATTTATATATAAATAAAAATTAATCATTAAAATATATATACCCAACTCTTATTTTTTATTTTAAAAAGACATACAACAAAATAATAATAGAAGGGAAATTGCTCGCCAGAATAATAGTCACACATTACAAAACAACAATCACACTAATCTCAATTGGACAAAAACTAGAGACATATGCATTGAAAACAGGGACCATACAAGGATGTCACCTATCATCATTTTTATTAAACATTGTACTGCAAGTCTTAGGTAAAGCGATCAAACAACAGTAAGAAATCAAGAGATTGCAAGTAGGCAAAGTAGAAGTACAAAGTTTGTGATTCACAGAGGATATGATCCTATATACAGAAAACCCAAAAGTTTCCCCAAAACCCTACTGGAAACAACAGAGGGATGTGACAAATTAGCAGGATATAACATTAGCAAGATGAAATCAGTAAGATTCCTGTATACCAAGGAAAAGAGGTACAAACAAAAACATTAAGAAGAAATAAATCTCTTGCCAAAGACTTTGTGGTAGTTACATAATCTGGTGTCAATTTGAGACGTGAGAGGATTAAGACTGAAGGGGTAGAGTCTAGTCTGTTAATCGGATCATAGTCAATGAGGTCTGTGTGGGTATGGCCTTCTCCTGAGAATTCTGGTAACTCCTATATTTCCTCCTTGGAGGTGGAAGAAACACCCTCTCTCTCATGTCTCCCTGGGAGACATTGCAACTGACAAGACACCTGGAACTACACTAGTGCCCTGAGCAGGAGAAGCCACATGGACCCACCCTGATTCAACCAAACCTCTGAAACTGGAGAAGCCCCATAGAGACCCCTGCCTGTGCCGAGATACTTACACTGCCACTGGGTCCAGAAGTCTTGATTCATAGAAAAAGAATATATGCTAGAAATTTACATTACACATTTTGGATGAGTGGCCTAAAATTATAGAACCAGTATTCTATGACTCAGTATCTCTACTTGGACCATATCCCCAGTATCTCTACTTGGACCATAACAAAGAAGAATAAGAAACACAGCAAGATGAGGTGATGAAGGAAAAATGGCAAAATTACATTCCATATTTTTGATAAATCAAATAAAATGAAACAGAACAAATAAAGCAGTAGAAAATTTTATCAACTTTGATATTTTACCCAATCATTTTATTATAAACTAAATAGTAGAAAGTGCCCATGATTAATTTAAAAATAAAGAAGAATGTACAAGTATAATTGTTGAAGCCAGTGCACAAATACAGGACAAAAACAGGTTTGCATGTCTTATGAAAATGATCTAGATATGAAACTTGATGATAGTAGTATTTTTTATTTAGAACTTATTATTTAGCAGACATTGTCGTAAGTGCTTATAATGGTTAGGGTTGCCTTCCCCATGGGTTTATATTTCAGATATTTAATTTAACTTTCTTATTGTGATCACTTCTTGCTACATCAATAATTAGAGTAAGAGGAACATATGAAATTATTTTTGTTGTGGATGGGAGTGTACGTTTTTTCCCTAGACACTAGATAAAAAACATTCAAACCAAATTAATTATAGAGAGAAATTTATTATCTCACAGACAATAGCCTGCAAATCAGAAACCAAGGTGTCAGCTGGAGTATATTAGCTTAACAATATGAATGCATTCATTTTCTCTTCCAGCTTAAGAAAAAGATTGGTGGCTCTGGGTATTCCCACGGCCTCATTAATCCAATCTGTTCAAAGTTATCTACCTTCTACATTACTGTATGTGATCAGCACTATCAATATCATGAAAATACATGTGACTGTAACTTTGCCTACCAGGTTAATTTGGTCTTAATCTGTGCAAAGAACTTTTGTCCAATTAAAGTAATATTCACTCTATCATATAAGCAATTTTCATAGGATCCAAGAATTTGGACGTGGAACTAGCATTCTGGGTTCAACCACCTAGCCTATTACAGAAAGCTTGCTTTCTGATGTCTCAGTGGAAAAGCCTATTAACCTTAGGCCCAGGAAAGACAGCATGATTTCTGTCTCTGGGTGTCATGTGTGGTTTTACATCTGCATCAGCTACAGAAATCTGGAAAAGCCATTCTATGATGAAACCACTATATAAAGCACTAATACAACCCTACTGAGACTTCGTGTACATTACCTACACTGAAGTCCTTCTATTGAGAGATAGCTCTCTCTATGCTATGAGTATATGAGTGGGTAAAGTTCTTTTAAGTTTTAACACCAAAGGCTTCTTCACTGATAATATTTGAATGCTTGGCAATCATCTAAAAACAGGGAGAAAACATAACTTTGATGATCATGAAACTAAATGTGCTTGATAGTAATTCTGACCTATAGGGAGAGTTTACCAGGGTCAGTCTGTGCAATGAGTGAATTGACCCAGAACACACACACTCCCTAAAAAGAAGGGATCCTACCTATGAGCTTTCTGAAGCTGACCTTCATGTCCCTGTTCCTTAGGCTGTAGATAAAAGGGTTCATCATTTGAGGGAGCACCATGTA